CTGCTGCTGCTACCACTACTACTACCACTACTACTACTACTACTACTACTACTACTACTACTACTACCACCACCACCACCAGGTCCTCTGGCCTGTTCCCATCCCATTCAGAATTAATTGGGAAATTATAAATCTTAGAGACAGACGGTAGGACTCCTTGGACGAGTGATCAGCCCGTCGAATGGCCGCCACCTACACACAGGACAACACAAATACAGAATAAGAGAAGACACATGTCTTTCCTTCAAGCAGAATTCGATCCTACGAACTGTGTTTAAGCGAGCGCAGACATTTCGTGCCTCAGGCAAGGAGGCTGCTCTGAGAGATGACGTTATTAATATTACAAAGATATGCTGAACGTCGCACGTGCATTGCGTATGGCCAGTCCTTGAGCTAACATCGCGAACCTCATGTTTATAACCATACCCTACAGCTGCTTCTGCTGCAGCTGATTCCGTATCCTTGTACCACGGAGTTTGATGGATTTACAGGTTCTTTGGGCTTCTTTTTTCGTCTAGTCTAGTCTAGCCAACAAATTTCTGCAGCATTATTTATGTATATAATTACAGAGAACCCCAATTATTTTAAAACTAACATACAGCCACTTGAAACTTCAACCGCAAATTCTTAATAACATTTTTCTTTACAAATTTTTAATATAAGCAACTTCAAATTTCTGGAATGACAACCGCGTTTCTGATAGATACTGTCACGTATTTCTGTTACTAAGACGCGGGTTTGGATTGGTGAATCGGTTTATTGGATCTTCACTAGTTGTTACTACAAATAACTGTAACACTTTGAAGATTACTATAATTATAACAAACACGTCAGATCTTCTATTCACTTATCCTATAAGCACTCTGCACTCTCAATTGTACTGAGCTCTGCTCAAATCTCCACATACGCTCTGACTTAAACAAAGTCAAAGTCACATTGCGACTGACGGTCAGTCAGTAAAGTCTTTGTGTAGAGCCCCATCTGCGGCTCATGACCACATATTTATTACTGTTTGACAGTTACGGTCTTGTTTTGTGGGGAGGCCTCTCTGAGGAGAGGACGGTCCTGTCTTATATATGCTGCTGGTTCTTGCCAGCACAGATTTTCTCGTCGCCTCCTACGGCTCGCAGGAACACGGTGGAGGCATTCGACCCCGCTTCCACACGGGGGACTCTCTAACTTAATCTTAAACAAATATTCTTTATACAGGTCCTGCACGGAAAACACAGAAAACGAGTTATGTGGTAGTACTGTTGCAGTGTGACGTCACTGCGCCTGGGCGAAAATCTGTTTACTGCGCCTCTGCCTAGAAGCGGGTTCCGGAATCTCGGTGTTCCATTGTTGCGAGCGTGTATATCGTGTTTACCGGTCCGTTACCTACCAATGCTCTGGCCATCCACGTTAAAATACGAAGCTTTACTCACTACTGATATTCTCTAAGCGGCGCTGCTGCCTAAGAGCACGTACTATGCTGAACCTAGACAGAGCAACGCTGATTCAAGCATATCTTCCATTTTTGTCAGTTGTTGCTTATCCATAACTAACGACAGAATTGCAAGTGTTATGTACTTCTATTTCAAGAAGTTGTACAGTTTATACGACTTTCAGTATTACACATTGCTTTTGGTGTCCAGGTGTGAGATGCAAACGGATCTGATAAAACCTCCGAGTAAAGAGATACTGGAGAGAGTACGGGGCGAGTATAATCTGAATACTGAACGAGTGAGGGAAGCTGTGGAACATCTGAAGGACTGGATACAGCTGCAGCCTCATCTGCCTAAAGAAACTGGTAAGCTTCGCATATCTACTCCCAGAGCACACCACCTTTCATTGTAAAACTCATATTCCGTTGTAAGATTTGAGGCTTTCACGGCGGTGACTATGAAGAAAGCAGTTTTCTGGGATTTGGCACCGTGTATATGTGGTGTTAACCGACGTTTCGGAGGGACCCTGAAGATGGAGGCGATACTTTCCTCCGAAACGTCGGTTAACACCACATATACACGGTGCCAAATCCCAGAAAACTGCTTTCTTCGTATTCCGTTGCTGAAACGAAATAGGCAGTGCTCACAAACAGTTTCTGTCTCTTGGTAAGCTCACGCCTGAATATAAAAATGCTGATTTATTCCTATTAACTTGATGTAATTCATAACACATGCCTCAGTATACATTCTTGGGGTGCAAGCATCCATGGAGATATATGCCTAGCATTCTAGGCGTAAATTCACTCAAAATTTTATGAATCCCTCTTTGAACCCATGTAGAAATCTTCCTTGCATTCTTCGTTGTATTAATTCACCCATCAATTTATCCATCCTTATATTTATCCTTCCTCGAAATAATCACGCCTTTTATTCATCCATCCTTGTATTTATTCAACCGTTTATCAACTCAACCAAATTTCCAGGAATTCATTCACGTCAACATCAATACACTCAGAATTGGTTAAATTAACTCAGGCTTTTAGTTTCTTATATCACTTCGCACTTATATCCATCCATAGACCGCGTCATAGCTCACACTGTTTGTCGCTGGCTTCCCACCGCGGCGGCCAGGGTTCGGTCTTGGGTCTGGTCAAGTGGGATTTGTGGTGGATAAAGTGGCGCTGGGACAGGTTTTCTCCGAGTACTTCGGTTTCCCATGCCAATCTTCATTCCACCAATTGCTCCACAATCACCCTCACCTATCATCTGGGGCTGGTACAATAGGCCAGAAGTGGCCCCAGTACAAGGGACTTAGTCCCACCCTACTAGCAATAAAAAATAATATATCCATCCATCCACTGTTGAAATTCTAATCGAATTACGGTCCCAATATTTATTTGTAGGCAGGAGTTCAGCTGCAAACGACTGCATGGGGTCTACTGATTTCGCAGAAAATGACGGAAAGAAAAAATGCTGTAAAATTGGGTCAACCGCAAAATAAACTCCGTGGTTTTTAGTTCCCAAGCGAACTATACTGACCGAGAAACAGCCGCTCGTCGGCAAAATTAGTGTTAACAGATCCAGAAGTCCCGTTTTCGTTTTCCGGCCCTACCAGATTTTTTTGAGAAGTAGTGGGTCTGAAACGGGGTCCACTCAGCCTCGTGAGGATAACTGAGGAGCTATATGAATGGAAAAGTAGCGGCTCTGGTCTAGAAAACCGAGATTAACGGCCGTGGGGATCCGTTGCGCTGACCACGCGACACCCTCTATCCGCAAAAGTTGGCAACCGTGTAATATCATTACGAAATCTGCACTGCAATGCAATTCAAGTTGCAGATGATGGCAGGCTGGAGCGGTGGCTCATCCGATGCAAGAACAGCACGGAGAAGGTCAAGAGGACGCTGGACCTGCACTATACGCTGAAGACAGACGTGCCTGAGATAATGATGGGCTGGGACACACATGCAGACTGGTTCAAATCCATAACAAATATTGTGTAAGTAATTATTCTGCAGATGTTATTTACAAATTATTCAGGGCGCCATATTTGTGAAGTTAAATACTAGTATGTATCAGTCAACTAATGATAGACCTAAAATTTGCACAGATTAAATTTTTATATATTGTGACAGGTGAACCCCGTGCATAGAGATGTGTCACTTCCTAGGTAACGCATTATCAAGACATTGAGTGGTAACCAGCGTCCATTGCAAGTCAACAGCGAGCAATTCCTAGGCAATGAATACATAGGCAGACCGCTACCTAGGAAATTGTCTAGGCAAGAGAGACATAATTGTTCGAGTTTCTGCAGCAACAACGCTGCGTCGAATACATAAAGAACATTTGGACAAAGTGTTCTCTCAGCAGTCCGCGAAGATCTACTTTAAGGGGGTAGATTGCCCGTGTGGAGGCGAGTTCGAATACCTCCACCGTGACCCTGTGAGCCGTAGGAGGCGACGAAAATGGAAGTCTCAAATTTGAGACAGTAATATATGGTCCCGAGTACCAAGGGACTCGGACCCGAGAAAGACTGCGCTGGGAAGAACCAGCAGCATATACAAAAGACAGACCCGTCCTCTCGTCAGAGAGGGCGCCCACAAAAAACAAGACCGTAACTGTCACACAGTAACAGAGATGTGGTCGTAAGCCCCAGATTGGTGCTTTATGTCAAGACAGACTGGCCATCTGACGGTCTCGAGAGAAGTGAGATAAGAGCAGACCAGGGCGGAGATCAGATCAGATCAGATCAGTGATCAGAGAGAGAAGCAGGAGGAGAACAGACAGATGCCTTCGCGTGACGTAGTTACAGGGAATATCAGAGTGTGACCATTGTTCTCAATTACGAAGTGTTATAATTATCGCGTGTGATAATTGTCTGTAGTTCCGCCTGGCGTAATTATCCAATAAACAGCTTCGTGTAAAGCCACAACCCAGTAATTATTTGTCACGGATACCCGGACACGTGAAATTATCTTTAGCTGTCCGAGACTAATCTGACATTTGCCCGTTTTCTTGCAGGTTTTATATCCCCATGCCTCAACTCACTTCAGACTGTGACAGAGTCACTATATTCGGTCTGCAGACATCCAACACCACAAATTTCGACGCTCTGGACTACATTAGAGTAACAGAAATGGCTCTGGAGATAAGAATTAGGGAGGATTATTCCCTGTCTGATATCTACGTATTGGACCTAGCCAAATACAGTCTGGGACACATTCCATACTTTACTCTACCTGTTCTGAAGAAATTTATTTTATGTGCAGTAGTAAGTATTGAATATCTCATGAAGTTCATATGAATGACAGAATGAATGTTTATATTATTCGAAATAAATATTAGTAAAACTTTCCCACACAATTATGTCGACCATTAGCACACCATGAAAATGTAGCACAGTTCAGATATTTGGGAACAACGATAACAGATCGAAACCTGATTCAGGAGGAAACTAAGAGGAGACTGAACTCGGGTAATGCTTGCTACCGTTCAGTCCAGAACCTTTTGTCTTCTCGTCTGTTGTCCAAAAGCATAAAAATTAGAATATACAAAACTATAATTTTTCGTGTGGTTCTGCATGGGTGTGAAACTTGGTCTCTGACATTAAAGGAGGAACATAGACTGAGGGTGTTGAGGAGAATATTTGGACCGGAGAGGGATGAAGTGACAGGAGGTTGGAGAAAACTGCATAATGAGGATCTTCATAACTTGTACTCTTCTCCAAGTATAATTAGAATGATCAAGTCAAGGAGGATGAGGTGGGCAGGTCATGTAGCACGAATGGGGGAGACGAAGAATGCGTATAGGATATTGGTGGGAAAGCCAGAAGGAAAGAGACCACAGGGAAGACCAAGGCGGAGGTGAGTGGACAATATTACAATGGATCTTAGAGAGACAGGATGGGATGGTATGGATTGGATAGATCTGGCTCACGATAGGGACCAGTGGAGGGCTCTTGTGAACACGGTGATGAACCTTCGAGTTCCATAAAATGCTGGGAAATTCTTCAGTAGCTGTAGAATTGGCGGCTCCTCAAGAAGGGCTCAGCTCCATGAGTAAGTAAGTAAGTATTAGCACACCATGACTTCGTAATTTCAATGGTTTAACAACATAGTGTTTGTTAAATCTGTGGTTATCATGGCGGTCACTGATGAAATGAGAGTCCAGTCAGAACAAAACTAAGGAACCTGCTAGTAGCAACTTCAAGGTATACAGGGTGTTACACAGACACCAGGCTTCTCCGAAACGCCTGCTTGCGATCTCCCATTCTTCACGTACTCATATCCCCTAAGAAATATCTTCGTGACAGTGTTTTTTTAACCAGATTCAGCGGTCATGGTTCACAGTTATGAACAGTTTGGTCGACTTGTGTTACAACTTCATTAAAACTGGAATTTCTGAATTTTGTTCATATAATGTACTTACATGTTCAGTACGATTCTCAGGATAAGAAAGGATAATTAACATCAGTATCATAAACTGATTGATTTCACCGATGGAGTCGAAATGTCTACTCTGAGTTAGCAGCTTCTGGTTTCAACACGGATTAAGATAAATTTCATGCTTGAAAGGACTAATGCGTGTTTTTTCTTAAATACGAATATTCACAAGTGTGGCTGTTCTAAATATGAATATTCTTTGAAGAAAGTCGTCTTCTGGGTTTTGGCGCCGTGTATTCTTCGTTTAGGCTGATGTTCCTCCGAAACGTCAGCCAAAACGAAGAATACACGGCGCCAAAACCCAGAAGACGACTTTCTTCATAGTCATCGCCGTGTAAACCTCAAAACTTACATGAATATTCTGTACTCATAATGTGACCGACTAATGATTACGCCTTCGGTTTTGCAGCAGCATGTAGTTTGGAGACATCCCAAAGTTTGGAAGGAGCATGACACCTTCACCTGCTACTTTCTTACTTCCCTACATTTTCAACCCTGAAGATGGAGATGATATGTTCCTCGAAACGTCAAGGCCCCTCCGAACTACAGAGCGTTTAAGACCAGAATATCCCACGCTTCATACCCACTGCCGTAAGAGCCTCAAATTCAACTAAACAGCCTCGCGTTTCTGTACCGGCCTTGTGGCTATCGTAACAGCCTAAACGAGACCTGAGAATTTTAAGGAGGAGAAAATTTAAGATTGCTCTTTTCTTGGTTATGACACCGAGCTGGTACCTAGGTAGTTACAAACATATCTGAGGATGTTCTTTTTCCGCCTTCAGAGGAAAAGACGAGGCAACAGTTTCCCCAATATTACCCCAACGCACAAAACCACGACACAATCGCATTTTAAATTATATATCAAAATGCATTTACATAAAAAATATTTCCGATATCACTTGTATAAATTATTTATGAACACTGCTCTATGCACCAACGTACGTCGTCTGACAATAAAGTTCGCGAACTCATCGCGGTAAAAGTGTTACGTGACTCTTTGCTGTGTATCACTGTGATCGACTTCAAAGTACTCCCCTTTGGAAGCTATGCATCGATGCCAGCAACTAGTCCACCCTTCAAAACAATTTTGGAAATGGTTTTGTAATATAACCTTCAGAGCTACTGTAGTATTACTCATGATGTTACCAATGTCATCAAAATGTCTACCCTTCAATATTTCCTTCATCTTTGGGAAAAGAAAAATGTCACTGGGGGTTAGATCTGATGAATAGGGAAAGTGTTCCAGCACAGTTATTTGTTTACTAGCTAAAAACTTCCTCTCAGACAGTGCTAATTCAAGCTCTGACATTCTTCTGACGGCAAACCGAAACACGCTCAAATAATAATAGACTCTATCAGAAAGAGACCGAAATAAATCAACAACAATACAGCTGTGGAACGCTGATAAGCCAACGTCATCAAACCATACTGAGGTTTCTATCCACTGCTGCCAAGGCAAGCAAACGGTGGCGAGTTCGCGAACTTCATTGTCAGATCTTCTATGTCCCTGAAATGACACCGTAAAGATGATTCAGTGTAAAACACGTATATTTTAAATAACGAGGAAGATAAGTTGCCAATGTCGAAATTGTTCTACTCCAACATTTTCTGGAGTGACTAAGGGAACCTTCGAACACCTCGGCCACTGTATCCCGTCTCCAGACTGGGACCTGAACTCGGGACCTCACCAATACGCTAGTCAGTCCGTTTATTATATAGAATGAAGTTTCCCACTCATTTGTCATTTCTCTTCTTTCAGGGAGGATACAATCTTCGTATTAAGGCGATACACGTTTTGAACGCCCCACCATATGCTGACACCTTAATTGCATTGATTAAACTTCTACTGAAACCCAAACTTGCAGCCAGGGTAAGTATACCTCCAAGGCGGTGTCATATCTCAGGCGATTAGTAGCCGGCTTTCCACCACGACGGCCCGGGTTCGAGCCCAGGGCAGGTTATGTGGGTTTTGTGATGGACAAAGTGGCGCTGGGGCGTGTTTTCTGCGAGTACTTCGGTTTCCTCTGCCAATTTTCATTCCACCTACTGCTCCACACTCATCATCTATATCATCCGGTACTGGTACAACAGGCTAAACAGAGGCCCACGTACCAAATGGACTTAGTATCACCCCCCTCCAAGAAATAAAAACAAAGTGCAGTGCCAACATATTGCCTTCATATTTCCTACACATACACAGTAACACCATCCTCCAGCTCTTGCTGTTCCTTTGCCCTTGTTTCTAGTTCCGCCATAGGCCCACATTTTATGACATTAAAAAATATCAACTCCTTTCCTGAGGTGCTACTTAAAATTGGGAGGTTGGCAATGTTTTACGAAATAATCCCCTGTATTCCGTTGAAATGTCACAGAGAGTAGAATTATTTATAACCACTTCTGTGAGATCCAAGAGTCATATTTGGTAATTTTATGTTTTGGTTACTTGCTTATAATAGACCGCCTCTGTGATCTAGTGGTCAGAGTTCCTGACTACAGATCCAGAGATCCGGGTTCGATTCCCGGTCCTATCAGATTTTCTGAGAAGTAATGGGTCTTGAACGGGGTCCACTCATCCTCGTGAGGATAATTGAGGACATATTTCAAGGAAATAGCGGCTCCAGCCTAGAAAAATTAAATTAACGGCCGTGGGGATCAATTGCGCTGACCACATAACACCCTCTATCCGCCAAATTTGGCACTAACTTCGCCGCAAGCAGCAGTCGCTCGGTAAGTATAGTTCGCTTGCGGACTCAAACCACGGAGTTTGTCGGGAACCTTTAAATATTCATATCCTATGCGATTTACTCCTGGACGCAGTCTGGGAGAATCTAAGAAAATAATTGTTCCTATATGTTCCAGATTCACGTTCATGGCACCGATTTGACGTCATTCTACGAGCAAGTGCCGAAGAAAATCCTTCCTACGGAATATGGCGGAGACTCAGGGTCCGTGTCCGAAATCTGGGGTATGATTTTGGCAATTTTATTTTATAAGCATCTTAACCATATAACACTGAGCTTTTATTTGCAGTGCCAAGCAGTGAATCTAGCTTGTATATAAAAATTTCCTCAGTCCTTCAAATATAACAAGAAGTCCTCTGAAAATGAAGAATTGTGTCTTCTTGGATGTAACAACGGGCAGTCCACTAAAACTCAACCGACGTTTCGTAGGAACACCTCGCTTATATCTTCAGAGTAGAAGAATAAGTCAAGTAATAAACCAGGGCTAAGCAGGTAGCAAGCAGAGCTCTGCTTGTTACATGCTTATTTTTCGACCCTGAAGGTGGAGGCGAAATATTCCTCCGAAACGCCGGATGGCTCAGCGGATGACATGGCATTCTATCCCATAAGATAGAAATCTTAGTATTATGATGGATTCCTTACGGCTATGCAAGGCTATGTTCTTCAGAAGGAACTACTGCATACCTTGCTCGCGTGAGACGGGTTCGAATATCATCACTATAGCCCTGCGAGTCGTAGGTGGTGATGAAGTGGAACCAAGTTTCTTGGAGTAAAAGTTAGCCACCCTGTTCATGGGGGATATAAACACGGGGAGCTGGCCCTCCATGTTGGGGGAGTCTCGAATCTGAGAGAGTAAAATATGATCATGTGTCCCGTGGCACTCGGACCCGAGGCTGACTGCGCTGGCGAGGACCGGCATCAATTGTAAACGACAGACCCATCCTCTCGTCAGAGAGAGCGCCCCACACCAACAAACCCGCAACCATCTGACGGTAATGAAAATCAGGTCTTGGGCCCCAGATGGGTGCTTGACACCAAGACAGACTGGCCGACTGACCATCAGTCGTAATGTAACTTTGACTGATTGCGTAATTCTAGCCATGGGAGGTGGGCCTACGTAAGACTACGTGGTGTATACAGCTGTAAGGCGGAAGTTGCAAACTGCGATCACTAGTGCTCGATTGCAATAACGACGAAGTTACGGATGTTCACTACCAAAATTTGTAGTATAAAGTTGTTTTCTTATGACCAGAATAGTGATAGAATATGTTAGCCTGTAAGAAGCAAGTGTCACAGTAATTAACATCTGGTTTCGGAACTGGATGAAGGTTGAGTGGTGAATTTCTCGTTCCAACTGCTTTGCTGCAACGGACAGAAAAACCAGTACCCTTGAGGTTGTACGCTGGGTGGGCCTCATACAGTATGGTGTAATAATATAATCAAAAACAAATTCTGGGACAGTAGAGGTAAAAAGTAAAGCAATAACTTTAATAGGCCTTGGAGAAGTCCATAGGGTTGTGTGAAGTCGAGGCTCCCACATTTTTTTTAGACAATCCGTTCATAGATGGCGCGATGAGGTTGTCAGCCTCACGTGCCGGCCGGTCTATACCCAGAGGAAGATTCACAGTACTCATTTCTGTTAGAGACTGAGACGACCTCAGGATTATAGTATGAATGAAAAGATTAGGTCAACTAAAAATGTTAATGATCTCATTGGTTGTGGAACCCGCGACTTTCCGGCTTGTAGAGGGACAGTACTTCAACAAAGCCACGTTTCCACAATTATAACCACTTCCCAAGGCAGTATTCATCCTACAATCTCGGTTCTATTGGTTAGGAAATAAACCACAGTTTTTTATTATTTATAATTACTGACAATCTGAAATATACATTTCTTTAAGCCAATGCGCTGACTATTGTGCAGATTGATAAATAAACTAATTAGTATACGAAGAAAGCAGTCTTCTGGGAGGTGGCGCCGTGTAGATCTTGTGTTAACCAACGTTTCGTAGGAACGTATCGCTTCTATCTTCAGGATAGAAGAAAAAACCGCGAGCGAACCAGCGTAAGCAGTTCCTAACAGATTGAGTTTGGACTTCTACTCTGAAGACTGAGGGGATAAACTGCTCCGAAAAGTCGGTTAACACAATATCTACACAACGCCACATCCCAGAAATCTGCTTTCTTCATATTCACAGCGTGAAAACCTCAAATATTACATAATTAGTATACGTTTGAACACTGCCTAAATATTCGAATAATTATGTTCCAGATCGCTGGGTGAAGAAGATTGAAAGTTACCGCGAAGTATTTCTGGAACGTGAAAAACACAAATCCGACGAGTCTAAGAGACCTGGTTGTTCCATCAGCAGCAGTGACCTTTTAGGATTCGAAGGGTCGTTCAGGAAGCTGGAAGTGGATTAGCCCTGTCTCTTAATGAGAAACATCCTGACATTATGAGTTGTGTAAGAGTCTCGACCACAATGTTCTGTTACAACGTAACGTTGCAAACGCTCCCTATAATAACATGCAGCCCTCGGCACCCAGAATTACACCGATCTTTCTTGTGATACAAACATACACTCACGGAAAACAACGTTACCGTTTAAGTACATATTAAAAATAATGTATTAAGTTTGTTGTGACATCTTTAGATTAAGATGGGAGGTAAAATGGAACATTAAATTTTGTTAGAATATTCTGCTGTTACAGCATAAGAACAATGTTAAATAACTTTCGGTAATATTTACAGAACAATTAAAGGAAGAACACAGACAGGGTGTTTGAGAACAGGGTGTTGAGGAGAATATTTGGACAGAAGAGGGATGAAATGACGAGAGGTTAGAGAAAACTGCATACTTACGAGCTTCATAACTTGTACTCTCCTCCAAGTATAATTAGAATAATCTATCATGTCTTTACTCTGATTTTATTCTTTTCTCCCACTGATGGAACCGGTTGTCGGTTGTTCATATGTTGTTTTTCTACAGACCGGGGTTTGTCCAGTGATTGAGTCTAGCTCTTTCTGACGGGCTCAACTGAGTAGGTTTATCCTTGCCTACCCACCTGAAGACGGAGACAGATCCAGTCTCCGAAACGACGTGGTCTTTTGTCTTTTACATACCAGACGATGGATGAAGTCCAAAATAAGCCAGCAGTACAGTATACACCATCGTCAGAATCCTTTCAAGCCAACCTAGAATAATCAAGTCATTGAGGACGAGATGCGCATGGCATGTAGCATGAATGGGGCGAAGAGGAATTCATATAGGACATTGGTGGGAAAGCCAGAAGGAAAGAGACAACTAGGGAGACCAAGTCATAGGTGGGTGGATAATATTAAAATGGATCTTAGAGAAATAGGATAGGGTGGTATGAACTAGATTGATATGGCTGAGGATAGGGACCAGTGGAGGGCTCTTGTGAACACGCGAATGAAGCCCTGGGTTCCAGTAAATTTTAGGAAGTTCTTTAGTGCCTGTCTGACTGGCGGTTTCTCAAGAAGGACTCAGGTCCATGAGGTTAGTTATCGAATTTATCGAACCTTGTATTTTGAATTATGGGGAGACTTTTGTTTGTGAAGAACGTGATATCACACTGTCTTTAGGCAGGCATGATATAATACAAGGAAATGTTGGGGGGTGGGGTAATTTGGAAGGACTCGACATTCACAAGTATCGACTTTGACGTACGTGGGTCTTCCATTAACTTAAAATGCGTCGAAGCCCAGTGTCAATAAGCCAATTGTTAATGAGAGATTTGTATTATAATCGGAAATCACAAGACCTCTCGACTTTGAAAGAGGGGCAGGCAACATATTAAGCAATTTGAAGAAATGTTTGTCAGTACACCGTTTAATTTGGGTAGTAAACTCCGGATTTTCGGATATTGTGACTAACAACCCAAATACGAGGGCACTACGTTTCTCTGAAATCTCTGTACGTACCTACCAGTCCACACGGTGTGATAACTCAAAATATGACAATGTAAATCGGCATAATATACTGTCACTGCATTTTCGAATTTGTTTGGGTTCGTTAGCTTAATATTAAACATTAATAAGACGCCTAAATTGAGATGTGCAGCACGTACGCCTCTATTCTTCGATGTTTTGGCACATTTTCTGGAACTTTACAGGTATATGTTACTCTACCGTTACATTAATATTACCATGTGTAAACTTTAATCATTTAAATTAACTTTTAACGGCCAGTTTCCTCAAAGGCTTAAATAAAATATTTCACTTTTTGAGTTGTTTAACAATGGTCGCTTAATTTAAAGTACGTTCAATTCTGTTGTGATATGCAAGTGATGCCATATATTTCATTTCAATTCATAAAAGGGTAACTTTAGCCGCACAAAACTAGGTATCAGATATTTTGACCTTACTCTGGTGCCTCTGGGGTTATAATTCAATATTATAAACTTCAATAAAACAATATTTGGATACAGCAACAGATGAATGGCGTTTTCTGTGCGTTCCGTACTGAAATGTTATAAGCTGGATAGCTGAAGCAATGAGTCAGTTGTGGGACATCCGCTAGCCAGTAAGGATGTAAGTAGAGGGCATTGTTAGGATCTGTTACCAGGAATCGGCTAGTGAAAACGGACTGAGAAGACATAGCTTGTGATCTAGTGATTTATAAAGTGTGTAGATTAGAGATCGTGATATAGTTATTTATAGGTACGATCTCTAAATGGTAAATAAATACAAGCACAAATGCAAACCCCGTCTATAATCACTCATGCAGGTGACAATGTTCACAGATATTTACATAATCAGTATTAGAGTATAAATAGTCATTATAAATAAAAGTCCGTTCAAAGTAAACGGAAATTCCGGACGGTCAAGTACCCCCCAAAATGCTCTTTCTCAACATCACTTCGCTTGCAACGGATTACGCTGCATTATATCCTAGAAGACGGAATCCTTCTTAAACATGGTTGTGAGAATTTGAAACTCTGCAGAGGTCCGTACAATCTTAACATCAGCACTGGATAGAGATGAGAACTCACGTTAAGGAGCTGGTCTCGATAACTTTGACGAAACATGGTGCAAACTCGATATGAAATCTGTGTCGGACATAGAGGCCTGAAATTCAGTATCCCTGACCTCACCAGGAGTATCCAGCGCTGATGCTAAGGTCGCCCAGTCCGTTAGTTAAGCAGTACACTGACCGAGGAACCAGTATCTGACGCAGCCCACAACACGTCTAACTTGTATTCGAAAGGTTCGCGATTCGTATCTCAGGCAAGACACAGAACTATACTGATCGAGAATTGTCATAGCATTCCTCACTTCATCCAGGTCTATGTCGAGACAGTAATTTGAAGCAGGACATCTCCACTTATTTCAATATTGTCTCAACTCACCAGCAATCCTGCATTCGACGCTACATAAACTGAGCTATTAGCAGCTTCTTCAAAAGTAAGTACAGAAATAATCACATACCGATCTAGCTACTCTGCTTATCTAATTATGAATTGTATGCCATAAAATGGGGGGCACGCGGTAGCGTAGTTGGTTCCGGCACTATGCTATAAACCGGAATGTCGCAGGATCGAATCCCGATGAGGTGGATTTTCTTCAATTTACCTAATCTTTCCAGCGGCAATATGGCCCTGGGGTCGACTCAGTCTCTAATAGAAATGAGTACCAGGAATATTCTTGGGGGTAAAGGGCGGCCGGCGCGTAAAGTTGACAACCTCACCGCCATCTGTGAGCCGATTGTCTAAAAAATGTGGGAGCCTTGACCTCTCACAACCCTATGGGCCTCCACGGTCTTTATCATTTTTATGCCATAATATGGGTCCATCATGGTGGCCGCGTAGCCTAAGGTATGAAACATCTACGCCCGATCGAACACTGGGATCGTGGGTTCGAATCCCTCTAGAAGCATGGATGTCTGTGTGGATTTATTCTGTGTTTGTGTTGTCCTGTGTGTAGGTAGGGGCCTTGCGAAGGGCTGATGCCCCGTTCAAAGAGGCCTACCGACTGACTAACATTAATAAACTGTTGTGAAACGAAGCGTTTCATGGATGTCTTGTGCTCCAAGTGGGAGTAACAAGAAAAATGATAGGTAGATAGGTAGGTGGTTAAGTAGGTGGGTGGGTGGGTGGGTAGGTGGGTAGATGCCATAAAATACTCTGTCAACTATCTGCAGTCATTGTAATTCGCCTCCCAGAAATCCTAACACCAACATTGCAGATTAATGCCTTAAAGATGGGAAGAGATACAGAGAGAGACAGGATGTGGAGCGGATCTATAGGTGAAAGTGAGAAACACGTTGTTGTCAAGGAGAGGGCCGAAAGGGCACATTTCTGTTAGAACGTTTCCAGGTTTCACCAGCTTGTCTTTCAGATAAGGGGAGTATGAAAGTGAAAACGTCAGAATGGTTAGAGTTAATAGCTTGAGAAAGGGGACAAGGAATTTTAGTTTCCGAATTGTATAAATTTGTGGCTTTGACAGCAAAAGGGCTTATTCTTGACGAATTTTTCGTCGAAAGAGCTTCATCTTAAACATAACATAAAAGTTCAGTTCGAACCTCACAGGGAACATATTACATCCTCGCTAAACAGACCAACCGATTAATGTTCAGAGAGAAAAAATAGATGATTATTGCGACAGACAAATTAATATTTTTCAACAGTATCACAGCTATCCTGTCAACGCCTTATCTTCAATTAACTGCGAATAAAAAAACTCCGTGGTTTTAGTTCGCAAGAGAACTATACCGACCGAGCGACCGCCTCTTGTCGGCGAAGTTAGTGTCAAATTTTGAGGACAGGGGGTGTCGTGTGGAGAGCGCAAAGGATCCCCACAGCCGTTACTCTCGGTGCTCTAGATCGAAGGCGCTATTTCCTTGAAATAGCCCTCAATTATCGTCACGAGGCTGAGTGGACCCCGTTCCAGACCCACTACTTCTCAGAAAATCTGGTAGGGCAGGGAATCAAACCCGGACCTCTGGGTCTGTAGCCAGGTACTCTGACCACTAGACCACAGAGGCGGTCAATTAACTGCGGATCATTCTGAAATATGTAGCATTATATTTTAAGAACGCCTTTGTGTCAAAATTATTAACAGGACGGTAAAGTACGGATGACCTTGTGAAGTAAAATAAAGAAGTAAACATATCAGGACAAATATGAATAACAATTGTTACTCTGTAACCGGTTTTTGAAGGCCAAATTTCAGAACCAGTTTTGTCTCCCAGTAGACTGGTCCTACCATAATCAGCTAGCAAATTGCCTAACCCCCAGAAGACCGGTCCTACCACAACCAGCTAGTTAATTGCCCTATTAAGATGCATTCTAAATGCCTTCTTTTTCACTGGCTCTGAAGCCCCATGGCACCCTGGACTCTGATTTTCAGTTTCATGATCATTTTACAGAGGGCAGGACTCCTTGGACGAGTAATCAGCTGGTCGCAAGGCCTGTACCTATACACATACACATACCAAATATCCATGCTTTGTGTGGGATTCAAACCCACAATCCCGGCTTCAGAGGGAGCGAAGACAGTGCATGTCTTAGACCGCTCGGCTACCGTGAACGATTCTAAATGCATCTGGCTTGCGTTTAGTCCTGACAACGGTTATCCTGCAGGAACGTGTTCGTTCTCGTGTTCCCTTTGTCCATCTAGGCGGATGGAGGGAAAGTGCCTTGAAGTAAGACATGATCCCTTCTTTTCATACTTTCTCAAGTTCATTGCAAGAGAACG